ACTTTGTCTAAACAGCGATGATTTTTGGATTTATATAGGCTAGATATATGATGTCAGGATGCTTCAGCGCTGTGTCACGTCCATAACGTTTTAAAGATTAAGTTTATATCATATAGTAATTATTAATGCAATTAACTTGAAACTTTCTGTACAAAGCCAACTTATAGCCATGCTAATTATGATCAACAGCTCATCTCTATTCTTTGCTCTTATCAACCATATACTGCGTTACGGACGCTTCATATTAAATTGTATGCATACAGGCAAGCATGTTTACCACGTTGCTGATGACTGATATAGCCTACTGTGTAGGTCTATACTGTGGTTTTATTTTGTATCATTGCATGTTAAAATAATTCACTATGTTATGCAGATGCAAAATGTGAAACTAATCTTATTCGCAGTCTAGCATTTTATAAATATTCGTACAATATATATTCAGCATATTTAACTTAACCTGTTTTGTATCTTTATTATTTAATGCATAAGTGATTTATTAAAACAAGTTTATGAGAGCCATTAAAACAAGTTTATGACTGCAACAATTTAATCTTGATCAACATCATCAACGAATTGGAGCAGCATCGGCCCATTATTAGATCATTTTAAAACGTCAAATAGCCTTCAATTTGCATATAACTGTATCTATTTTATTTATTATTTTATTTATTTTAATGCGGATCCCACAGCGTTAACCTAATATAAATGTGCTCTAGGCTATTATTCATATTCAAATGTTTGTGCGGAAAATAATTAATACTCAAGCATCACAGGGTTTTAACAGTCTAGGTTTAATCTTAGTCAATCTTTGGGTAAAATGGGAACCTGTTAAATAATTACTAACAATGAATGGCTGTCGGCTGATGCCAATGTGTCATACATAAACCTTGTTACCATAACCTGTTTAAAAATAATGTAATATTCTATAAATCAACAAATTTGGCTAAAATGACATCATTATCCTTTAAGGAAGTGAACACAGCTAAGAAAAGTAAATCCTACCTCTTTTTTCCCCACTTTATTTGATCAGTTTTGTTAAATTCGTCAGTTGGGAACAATTTATTTATTTAAAAGTGTGTATAGTACTTACCCCAGCATTATATTGGCATTAATTTCTATTTCTAAAAAGCCCCTTGCAAACATTTATGAGTCAACTGTTACCTTTTTGAAGGCATATACACCTCAGTTTACATACTGGTCCCTTGAAAATATACAGTATATACCTCTATAATATTTGTACATACTCCTTAAACATGTATATTTATATAAAAGAAGAGGACTGAGAACAGAGCCCTGTGGGACACCCTGAGTTAGGGGAGTAGTGCAAGATTTAAAGTCATGGACAGCAATTAAGTGTTGTCTATCAGTGAGATATGATTACAACCATGAATGCCAATAAAGCTATATGATATATTGCCATTTTTTTTATAGAATTCTGAACATCTTAAAAATTCTACAAGAGCTTTGTAAACATGATAAAATGGGTATGTAAATGGTAGTGATCTGTAGTGTGTGAGCACCAACTACCATACACAGAGAGACAACAAAGAAGAGAACAAGAAACCTATCAAGAGAACAAATGGCATCATCTAAAAGTATATTCACATACATGTCAGCATGGACAAGTGCACTTACAGTACATCCTCTATCTTAGAGATAATGTGCTCTGCACAGGATCGCTCTTTTTCCAAAGCCACACGGTCTCTCATTCTCTCTGTATCCAGACGGGCTAGCTCTGCTTCAGCCAGGGTCAGACCCATACTGCGCTTGTGCCTGAAACATACAAATAATACACAAGTGAACTTACTGGAGGAGAAGGTTTTGACTGACACTTGTGCTGGTACATTGGAGTTGAAGAGTGCGTGTTGGGGTCTTTATCTGTTTGCGAGTGTGTATTAGATGAGAGCATTTCACCTGAAGTCTTCTAGGTTCTTCTGGATGTCAGGTAGTAGTGTGTCCTGCAGCTGCTGCACATATTGCCGGTGGACGTCCTCTGAGATGGGCTCCGGCCTCTTCCGTTCTGCATTAATTGAGTGTGCAGTCCGTTCTATGCACAGACAAACACATGTATAAAAGTCATGCAAAGTTACACTAAAATGCCACTAAAATGAGATGCACAGTATATTGGCACCATTATCGATAATCAGACGTTTTTCTTATTTACCAATAAATCAGCAAATACAGATTAGTTTAAAAATAAAAAACTAAATATCAGACAGTTAAATTGTTGTTTTATTCAGCCAATATATTTTGTTCTTTTATTTTTAAATAACAGCCCTAGTATTTAGAGGTTTGAACTTACCCAGGTCAGCGATGATGGATTCGGGCACTGTTACTTTCAAGCTCTGTTAAAAAAAACCATTCAACACAATCAGAAACCACATCATCTATCACAAGCTAAACAAGCTGAGACTGCTTTAAAGTTCCTCACAGCTGGTTTTTCTATGAAGAAGGTATCCATGAGGATTCGTCGTGTCTCTTTGGAGCTGGTCTGTTTGTAAAGTTCAGCATAGAGGTAGCACAGCTGCGGAGCGAGAAGGGAAACAAGTGATGTGACTCATCTGGTCTGAGACCAAGCCATAAGCATGCAAGAGAGATTCATGGAACATGGAAAGTAATTTATAAACATTTTGTTAGATTCCTGGAAATTCCAGGTTTGTGGGTAAGAGGGGTGATCGATCTCACCAGCGGCGCAGGGTCAAACTGAGAGACCACATGATGGATGAAAGCTGCCAGGTGAGCAGGCCGAGATTTCAGGAGGTCTACGCTCTGAAAACAGCTACACTGGCCATTCATCTAGAGACAGAAAGAGTTAACTTACATTACTAGTACACATTAATATATTATTCAACTTTATGATTTAATGCATAACTTAAATGTGGGCTTGTGAATGTAAATGTGTAAAAGGTTTTGCTATTTTCCATGAATAAACATTGGGCTCTGTTCCAAACGCTAGTAAGCTTCCTTCTTATCAACTGTCTACCTAGGCAGCTACCTTCTAAGATGACATCATAAGCAGGGTCTCAGAAAAGCGGGGCAAGTGGAACTCTTAGGCATTACTTGCGTAGAGCCGAACTGGAATGTGGATTGGGGTCCCTGCAGAGGGATCACTATTTCAAATTAGAAAGACCCTGATAACGCAATGTGGTCATCTCCAGCAACACAACACCGTTAAGAAAAGTTAGTCAGTGACTTTAAGCAAATGAGAAATTATTTGATGCATCAATCCAGTAGGAGATGGAGATTGTGTAATATGTCTCCTGTAAGATCAAAGACTTACAGACAGATTGAAACAAATATATACCAACATGGCTCACCCATATTACTATGAATGGGAGAAACTGCACCATCAACTACCTTGACAAAGGCTACTAGCCGAAACGTTGGATAATAAATAGCCTATGCTTAAGTGAGTGTGCAGTTGTTCTCTTTCAATTAGGTTTAAATTTTTTCCTTCAACTTGCATCTCTACAGGTGTGCGTGTGCTTTGCCTCACTTGCTCTATTAAGAAACTGCAACATGCAATATAGCAGAATAAGTTCCGCCTTCGAAATAAAAGAGCCAATCATCATTTTACTGCAGACATGCGCACTGGACTGCACATGCGCATTAACTGGAGCAACCTGAAATACCTGTACACTTTTTAAAATCAATTTGAATGTAAAGTAGCTTTTACTTTTACATTTACATTTATACATTTAGCAGACACTTTTATCCAAAGCGACTTACAAATGAGGCCAATGGAAGCAATCAAAATCAACAAAAGAGCAATGATATGCTATAACAAGTCTCAGTTAGCTTAATGCAGTACACGTAGCAAGTTTTTTTTTTAAATCATATAATAAAAAGAAAACAGATAGAATAGAAAAAGAATAGAGCAAGCTTTTGTTAATCAGAAGTCAGAAAGTCAGAATTATAATTGTATAATAAATAAAAAGAAAACAAATAGATAGAATACAAAAAAATTAGAGAAGCAAGTGTTAGTTTTTTTCAATTTTTTTTTTTAAGAAAACAAGCAGTTAGTAAATAAATAGAGTGCTAGAGTTAGAGAGTCAAATAAAGATGGAAGAGATGTGTTTTTAGCCGATTCTTGAAGATGGCTAAGGACTCAGCTGCTCGGACTGAGTTGGGCAGGTCATTCATGGGATGACCATGGGATAGCACAATAAAGTGACGTTCACTTGCAGAACGCAAGCTTCTAGAGGGCACATACCTCTGAAGTAATGAATTTAGGTAAATGGATGCAGAGCCAGTGGTGGTTTTGTAGGCAAACATTAATGCCTTGAATTTTAAGCGAGCAGCTATTGGTAGCCAGTGCAAATTGATAAACAGAGGTGTGACGTGCATTCTTTTCGGCTCGTTAAAAATTAATCTTGCTGCCGCGTTCTGGATTAATTGTAAAGGTTTGATAGAACTGGCTGGAAGACCTGCCAAGAGAACTTTTAGCCAACTTTTTTTTTTGCCAACTTTTAGCGTTGTTCAATGAATTTTTGTGGGCAAAATCCAGTTATTTCAATAGGAATACACACGAGCAGGAATTTTGTGTGAGGGCAAATGATTTCCATTTGCAGATTTCGCATCAGTTATCCACAAAGATTCGCTGTGTTGACCAACAGAAAGCTGCTTGGTTGAGCCCCCAATATACTTCAAGCAAATTGAAAAACAAATTGGAGTGACATCATTTCAAATAAAATCTCATCAAAACAAAGTTCATTTGGAGTTTGTTTTTGGAGATTTAAACAGCTTGGCAACACAAATTTTCTGGAAAACACATTTTAAATAACATTGGTCCGTGGCAAGGTATGTGCGCTCTGCGGCTCTGACTTCTTTGAAATAGATATCTTTTCCGGTTAATTTTTCTCTTCAGTCTGTCGTGGTCAGATGCGAGTAAACACAAACACACTGGAGAGCTGGGGCCCGTTCTTCGTACGTCGCTTGTTACATCCGAGATGAAATGTCACATCCAAGATGATATCATCGCGCTAATCAGGATCTGGCTAATTGGGTTCTTCGAACGCACCTGTTGTTGATGATTTGTATGGCTGGATTGAGTTATCTGAGATAAGTGCACGTTCATGGATTGGTTTAAAAGGGGCTATGTATCGATACTCGAAACAACCCATAATAGACTCTACATTATCTGTATAGCATGTGTGTAAGACTCGAATACAATTTTGAAGTAATAATTTTATGACGAATAAATCTTTCATTGAGTAAAACTGGCTGTAGTATTAAAGACTACACAACACTATTATATTATCTTTAAATTAATTTTTAAATGATTATTATTTTAAATTATTGTCCCTGGATTAGTAGGGTACTCTTGTAATAAAAGTAGCAGTGGTAGCGGACAGATTTTAAGTATCAATTCTGGTTAAAAATGTTTTTTTTTTAAGAAAAAAAAAAAGAATCCTAAAAAAAGAAAAAAATCTAATCCTGTTTACATTAAATAAGCCTGCTCCCGAGCAGGTTTAAGCTTACGGACCTGTTGCTATGACAGCAACTCCGGGATGATCTTCGAAGAACCAAACAATCCAAGATCATGCCAAATCGTCAACAATCAAATCCAGCTAACTGAGTTAGCGAAGTACGAAGAACGGGTCCCTGCTTTATAGTAAAAATTGATGTTGTAAGTCATACACTTTTTTTCATGTTTAATACTGTAAAGCTGCTTGCTTTAAAGCTATCTATTTAACAAAGTACCATATAAATAAACGTGATGCGACTTAAGTTACCTGAAGTGCCAAATTGCAGAGCATATCCAGATCACTATGAACAGATGCTTTCTTAACTGCTGTTTTCTCACCACCGTCATTTTGTTGTGTTTTGTTTGTTACTAAGAGGAAAGCCTGAAGTACATATTACATAATCATCTAAACACTACTCTCAGCACAGGCGGTGCTGGGATGTTTGCAAGCAGTATATCGCTGCTCAGGTATTTCAAACTTTGTTTTACCCCTAAGCTAAGAACAAAAAAGAACTTTGCCATGAGTTATATCTAGGCAGCTCACTAGTGTTTGAAGCAGAGCCTGAGAGTACAAAAATCAAAAGGTAATGTACAGACTATATCCAAGCCACGGTCAACCCTACCTGTTCCTGCTCTGTGTCAAAGTCTTCGTCCTCAGCACCAATGATGTGTGCTACCGGACGAGTGGAGGGGCTCCCCACACTCGACTGCGAATCCTAAATGAGAAACATTCAAATTATGCACAGCACTGAGAAACTACAAATGAAGACATGAGGTCAAAGAGGTCCCTCACAAGGTCAGGTGTGTCTTCGGCATCCGGTGAAGGACAAGAGTTGAGGCTGTCTCGGGGTGTGGTCTTTGGGCTGTGGCAGGGGGTCTCTCTTTGGCATGGACTCTCTGGGACAGGACTGGGAGTGACCTGCACAGATCAATTGACAGCAAATTTTACACAAAGGAACCATAAATCAGCATCCAAGCAAATGTGAAATGTGGAAGGGGAGTCTGACGGGAAGCAGGTCTACTGACAGGGGCTGTGGTATTGTTGGTCCACGCTGGCTCAATTCCAGCATCGCCCTGCCATGAAGGGGGCCGATCCAAATCTCCCCCTCTATCCTCCTGCTCTCCTTCTCCTGGCCTTGGAGATAAGGAGCCATCCTACAACAAACACAAACAAACATTTATTAGCACTGCAACATCATGACATTTCCAGGATGTTAAGTGTAATTTCCGCACCACTAGTTGTACTGAATAGAAGACTACAAAGGTCAGGAATTATTATTTTTTTGCCTAGTTTTGTTGATGTAACAACATGTAAAACCTCAAAAAAAAAAAAAAACCTCAAAAAAGGCATCTTACCCATGTTAACTAAATTTTTTGTCTTAACCAGCCATGACAACAATGCAATGAGTGACAGGGAATTCTACGTTTGAAATGTTTTTACTTGGTACAGATCAGTAACTAGTTGTTTTTTGTATAATATTAAAATGGTTTCTTTTTTGTAATTTGATTATGTATTAATTCAACTTGTTGCGAGATATCCGTGTGCTTGCAGAGCGAGAGAGAGACCGCCCACACGCTCTTCTGACTGGCTTTGATTTGTAATTGATTTTATTGTGTCTTGTAGATACTTGCATCTAGTGTGGACAAAATGCTTGTCTTTTGAATCTTATTGTTGCATCATGCATGTCAGGTCATTTTAAATTTAGTTCAAGTTTTGGTCATTTTGTTGTGTTTTTATATAGCTTTGATTAAGCTTTAGTTATTTTAGTGCTTCAACAAACTAAATGAAAATGAGAAATGTTGCCTTGGCAACAAGCCGAAATAAAGTACGTTTCGTTTTTTTGTTTTATTTCAGTAAATGAAAATGTTTGTATGGTTTTAGCTTTAGTTAACCCTAGACTACACTATCTAAATGTACAATGGAAGATGAAACAGGGCTTCCTGTTTGAAATACGCTATAAGATGTTATATGTTCCACGTGTTTTACTGACTAATAAAATTTCATGTTATGAGCATTACTAATTAGTTGTTAAAAAGCAAATATGGTGTAAACTGATGGTTAATTTTCTCAGTTGCCTCCACACATGTTGTGTTACATATAGTGTCACTAGCAAAAAAAACAATGATTTAACATGAACAAACTTTTCCATCAATTCCAATTTTAATGAACTTGAAATTATATCAAGTTCAAATGTGTATTTGAAATGTGTGAAATGTGTATTTATACCAAATCAAAAAATAACAAATAAATATTATTTTAAACATTACATTTTAAGGGGGTCTGAATACTTTCCGTACCCACTGTATATATAGTTTATTTTTTATTACAGTTTTTTGTTTTTTTTACATTTTAGAACTGAGAATTTCTCTGAATCACAGCTTGTTGGTAGGTTTTGTGTGTGTGTGTGTGTGTGTGTACCTGTCCAGTCCCAGAGGGCTTGCTGAGCTGCTCCTGGTGCTGTGGAATGTGCTTCTTGGCGTCCTGGATTTCCTTCAGTAGTTTAGGTGTAGGGTTCCTGCTGTGCTCCTCCGTCATGGCCTGTAATTTATCAAACATCACAGTGGCTCTGATCATTCTTACGTCTCTTGTCATAGAGGATGTGAGACTGAAAACTCAGAGAGTGCTGTCACAACATCACGTGGTTGATACAAGTGCACTTTTATGTATCAGCGCAATGACGGTCCTAATCACACGAGTCAGTCTATAATAATAGCTTCAGTTCAGCAAATTACGTCAATACTTTCCAATGGTTCTAAACTGAATGTGTACTACATACAGCACACATTTACACATACTAATAGATCGCAGTATTCTTGCTGTATTTCTAAGCAACTCTGCAAAGCAGCAGCATTTCAAGTAGGGTTTCAGTTCTCAAAACTTGATAAAAAATATGCTAAAAATGCACGGCAACTTGATCAGCACCATAGTCATCTATTATAATAAATTTCTTTAAGAAAAAAGTAATGGAATATATTTTTAAAAATCCACACAGGTCAGTCTTGATTTGTAGATTTAACTACACTTTTATTGTCCATTCCAGATAACCATTATACATTATTGTTCAAAAGTTTGGGTCAGTAAGATTTTTTCAATGCTTTTAAAGAAATTATGATCAACAAAGGTTGAATTTATTTGATCAAAAATACTGTGTGAAATATTACAATTTAATGTAACTGGGTTCAATTTTAATATATTTTAAAGTATAATTTGTTCCTGTGACGGCAAAGCTGAATTGTCAGCAGTCATTCTCCAGTCTTCAGTCTTAAATGATCCTTCAGAAATCATTCTAATATGCTGATTTGCTGCTCAAGAAACAATTCTTACTATTATCAGTGTTGAAAATAGTTTTGCTGCTTAATATTATTGTGGAAACCGTGATACATTTTTTTTTCAGGATTCTTGATGAAACTTAATTTCAGGATTCTTGAGCATCTCGATTCAAAACCACACGATCTTATTCCCAATGACAATAATTGTATTGTATTGATTATCTCGTTATGCGAGTAGGTGGCAAAAATGTAAAAAAAAAAACTTATTTGTCATTGAATCATTTATTCAAGAGATTCATTTAGAAACACTGATTCAACCAATAACTAATGTCTTTATAAATGAGACACTGACTACTTCATTCAAATATATTTTTTAAATAATTTAATTCAAATTAATATATTTTAATAGACTGAAGCAATGAACATTTTGTCAGAACCTCTAGTAAATTAAATTTGATTTTGGCTGTCTAATGCTTTTCTTCAGAATAGTGGAAAAATCACACTCTCTATTTACAAAATAAATAAATAAAAAAATCTGGATTTTCAATGTATCCAAAATTTTGCAGCTCTAATGAAAGTTCAAAGAAAACTCAAATCATTTTGAAAATAAATGATTTGAAACAAATCTTTTGCAACATTAATTATACATGTATTTTCTGTCACTTTTGGTCAATTTAAAGCATCTGTGCTGAATTAAAAAAAAAAAACTCGAACAGTGAAAGGCAGTGTCCAATTTAAACCATTATGAAAGGAAGTACTCATTGCAGTAACCCAGAAATCACTTTCGTATAGAGCCACAGCCCTCTTACGTGTTCAAGACACTGCCTGTATGAAAGCATGTGACTGCTGTTGCTGTTTTGCTGCTGTGACACTTCAAACACAACCAGTGAAACACATGAGTTACTGTAGTAAAAGGCATACAGTGCTATGAAAGACTGAAGGCAGATGATATGGGGCTGATGGAGATCAAGGCCGTATATCAGCTCTTACCCATACAGACAGAGGGGTCGGTTTGCGCTCCGAGGGGCTGGGGGAGGAAGACGAGCGGTCTGGACCGATGGGCCCCGGGGAGTGAGGGGAGGTGAGTGAGAAGAGAGGCCCCTCCTCCCCCTCGCCGTCTGAGAGGGGGATCTGAGGCAGGCCTGGCGGTCTCCCCAGTACTGTCAGGGCCACATAGGAGCCCGCTGTACACAAACACACACAAACACACCAACAACTGTACAGTATTGTTCATTTTAAATGTGAATAACCTTATAAACTCAGTAAAAAGACACAAGCTACTTACATTTTATTAGCTTTACAACTTCTACATGATTTGAATGTGTAACTAATGTCCCATTGACCTGCATGAAAAAAACAAAACATTAAACACATTGATTAAATTAAATTCATAGATGCTACTTAAACCAGAATGCTGCATTAGTCTTTAGTTTGTGCTGTATTTACTTAATAAACCAAATTTTTTTTACATAAACGTATTTGAAAGTTGCTTCTTAACATTAAGAACAATATTTAAAAGTTGCTTCATAACATTAAGAACAATATTGCCAGTTACTGTCTATTTCTGTACCAGCAATGAAAATATGTGCTAAAAAATACTTATTATACTGTTTTCAGTGTTATTATACAGTATATACTTATATACTATTAGTTTTTTATTAATATTTTGAATAAGTTTTTATTTTTGTATTTTTAAATTGTATTTTACTTTTAGTTGACTTAATTATGTTGAGTATTTTTTTATATTTTGTATTTTTTTTTACAAGTCTACATAGTTTTTATTCATTTTTATTTTCAGTTACTTTTTAGTGCAAGTTAAACAATGAAAATTGCTTTGGTACCTAGCAGAAAAAAAATACATTTATGAGTTGACAGGCTTGCATGACCAAACTACATTTCCCATCATTCTACAGCAGCGCTCCAAAAGGCTTCCTGTGTTTGTTGGGCTGAGAAAAAAAACTGGTCAAAATGGCCAGAATATTCGGACCAATATGATATGAGAATACACTACCATTCAAAACCATTCAGGGTCAGTATGTTTTTATTTCTTTATTTTATTTTTTTAATACTTATTAATACTTTTATTCAGCAAGGAAAAATGAAACTGGTCAAAAATAACAATAATACAATTTATAATGTTTCTAATTTAAATAAATGCTTTTCTTTTATAACTTTCTATTCGTCAAAGAATCCTGACAAATGTTTCTTAATATTCTTCCACGAAAATATGAAGCAGCACAAGAGTTTTCATAATAAGAAGAAATATTTCTTGAGCAGCAAATCAGCATATGAGAATGATTTCTAAAAACTGAATTAACGGCTGCTGAAAATTCAGCTTTATCTCCACAAGCACAAATTACATAAAAAAAATAAAATGGTAATAGTGTGAAATAATTTTTATTTTAAAATAACTTTTCTATTTACCGTTTCCCACACACACACACACACACGTGTGTGTGTGTGTCTGTAGAAAACGGTAAATAAAAAAAACAGTTATTTTAAAATTAAAAACTATTTCACAATATTACCATTTTCACTATTTTTGAGCAAATATATGCAGCCTTGCTGAGCATAAGAGTTCTTTCAAAAACAAAAAAAAACTGTACTGACTACAAACTTTTAAATGGTAGTGTAGGTCACATCATAATTATGATTTCTGAACTAATAAGTAGGGCCAGAGATATATGCAGAGCTATAATTCTCCATTCAGCCAGCAGGAGACAGAGCACAGCACCAGAGACATCCTGCCGACATCAGGTGAGCTGTCTGGAGAGGATGTGTGTATGGTAGCCTCAGGGCTTAAAGACACAAGCCCCAATAACAGACTGTGCTTATTTTGAACTAAATCTCGACAATCTACATTAAAATCTACTTCTCCGATTAATAATTCTGAACTTCGTCAAGGTGGAGCCCCTGATGATAATCACCTTTATGATCCGGTCACCTGTCTGAACACCAGCTCGCATGGCAGCTCCATCTACATGCAAAACAAGAAAAAGAGAGATCATGCATTCTGCTGAAATGAAAAAAATATACTACGGTACCATCTGACATCAGTGCAGATTAAGGATGGTCACAAGTAGCTTGAATACACATTTTCACTGTCTCACTGTAGTTAGGGGAAAAGCAACTATGCATTTAGCACTGTTAGTAATTATACTGTGCTGTGGTGCTACACAACCAGATAATTATCCATGCCTTGGTAGTTAAAGGAGACAAGTGTGTGTTTAAGTCACTCGTGAAACTCTTCTGCATGTGCATGTTATGGAGGTCAAAACAAGGACAATGAACAACAGGGATTGTGTCTTTCTTACCCTCTTTTACAAGCTGTACAAACACAGGGTTATCGCCGCTCACTGTCAGCCCAAAGCCATTCTCATCTTTCTGGATGATAACACAACGCTGCACAAGCCCTGCGAGACAGAGAGAGAGGGAGAGAGGGGGATAAAGCAATGGAAAGATATGGAGGGTGCAAGAGAGAGGATGAGGACTTGCTAAGTAGCACTCAAGGAGCTGGATAAAGAAGATTGTGTTATTCCTGGTCACATACAGTATAGTGGCTGTGGGTATGTAAAACCAGATCAAACGGCTGAGAGACAGTGGATAAACACACCAAAAATGATTTCTTGAAAGGCCTGGAGCATGCCAGATGCACTCAGTCATGAAAGAGCTTTAGAAACGACATAAACAACAAAAACCTGTTTCTTTTCTGGCATGCTTGTGACTGCAGGAAGTCCATGTGAGAAAATGTAAGAAAGCTCCTCAAACATACACTACCGTTCAAAAGTTTGAGGGCACTAAGACACACACACACACACACAAAAAAACTATTTCAAATAAATCAAATAAATTGTAGATTAATAATAAGAGATGTTTCTTGAGCACCATTTCATCATATTCAAATTATTTTTGAAGGATCATTTGACACGGAAGAATGGATTTGCCATCACAGGAATAAATAACATTTTCAAATATATTAAAAGAGTTACTTTAAATTGTACTAATATCCACAATTTTACCGTTTACTGTATTTTTGAGAAGAAAAAAAACAAAACATATGCTTGGTGACCATAAGTGACTTCTTTAAAAAAAAAAAAAAAAAAGAATCATACTGACCACAGACTTTTGACTCATTTCACAATATAAATATGCTTAGAATCTTAGAAAGATTTTAGTATATATCAAAGCATGAAATGGTGTTTTCAACTACTTTTACTTCTGGAATCAGACATATTTCTAAATCTAATAAAGCCGGGACACACCAAGCTGACTTGTGTCAAAAAACTGGCACTATCACGTGCATTCTCCTCCTGCGTGGAAGGAATTACCTGGCTATATCAGCAAATCTATAGCCTGTTTGTCATTCAAAAGAAGAAAACGAAACAAGGATATGAGATATATGCAAGTATACGAAACGTAAATAAAGCAGTGCTTGCTTACCCTTTTGAACATCAGTTATGCTGATAACTTTCTTCATTTTAAGTGGCTCATATTGTTAAGAAAATATTTGCGTATTGGAATGCTCGGACACGATAACGTAACATTAGAATAGCCTCTGTCTGTGCTGCTAAACTGAACATCCAATCAGAGTTCCGAATTGGGCAAACTGCCGCCAACGTGTGGAACACACTGCAAAACTGGTTTTCAGCAAGAAAAAAGAAAATCATCATTATTTAGCAAAACTGTCAAAACTGAAAGATGTTTTAGAATTAGATCAGTTATTACATTTTGATGAAAGATTACAGACACCTTTTCTTAGGAATAACAAAATGTTAAATCACATTTTACAATAGGATCTTGAAGGTGTATTGATAAAGTAAATGGGATCGATTTTGATTTGAAGATGACTATAAAGTGAGATATCCTTACAATACTATGAAAAGCAAATTAGATGTAAATTAAGACATACCCCCGCAATCAAGCACGCATATCTGTGCCAGCATCATCACATAAGAATAAATCCCTCACAATAAATCCATCACATAAGAATAAATCCCTCACTATAAATCCATCACATAAGAATAAATCCCTCACTATAAATCCATCACATAAGAATAAATCAACTATGAGCAATGGAGTATTAAACAAGAAAGAATCCATTAAAAATGCATGTTTAAAATAATAAAATCATGGTCCTTACAAAGAAATAAATCATAATACAGCTAGAAAGAGCTGTTGAGATACAAAACACTTGTGTACAAAGTATACAAATTAAGATTTATTCAGTACAGATAACAAGAGTTTTTTATTTTTCTTAATTTAAGCATACTGTCATTCAGGATCTGCCAATGCATATGTATACCACAAAAAAATAATAATAATAAATTACGCCTCTGTAGACAGGTGTCTGTTAACAGTTTTAACATGGACACTGCTTGTGTGAAGAGTGGACATGTAAAAAAACAAAAACACGTCAGACAAGTATCTCACAAGACTGGATCAGTCTGCAATGTGTTTCGCTGAAATGCTTTGGTGCAGCTCTTAAGCCATTCATGTGTGACGGCTACAAAAGTGCATCTTCCTCCATTTTTGCTACTAACACAAAAACACATACCCTCACACATTCACAAACACTCTGGCTGAGTGTAGCCATTATACTGGACTTGATAGACTGGTGTATGGCAAATTTGTGACAACTACACTCAATAAAACAAGACCAGATGACCTGCCTTTTTGCCCGAATTATATTGCTTTATGTATGTGACATCTGGCCTGAATTAACTCAATGGATGCATCTTTCAAAGCTTTTAGAAGCTGTTGGAATGATTACTCCTTGTTCTCATGCATTATCTGATTCAAAAGAATCATTCATTTGAAAAAAATATTTCAGTTGTTTTACTGATTGTACTCAGTGTTTCAATTTGAGACTGAGCCTGATAGTGATTTTTGATTTTGATGTCAGATGAATACAGACATTTTTATGAAAGGCTCAATGTAATACAGCAGTAACATAATTATAACATAATAGTATTGTCCCATTACTGAATTCAAAAGCACACAACTTTTTTTTTGTGTGTGTGTGTAGCATAGAACAGCGATTTTCGTTTTTTTTAAGCCAAGGACCCCAAATATTTTGATCCCCTTGTGAAGGACCTCTTCTGACAGGCATTAAACTGTTTAAAGATTACAGTAAATTCTATTTCAAATAAATTCTGTTCTTTTAAACTATTTTGAAATATACCTGAGAAGAAGAAAAACATATTAGAATGATTTCTGAATTGTAGTGCACACATTTTATTAATTGATACATTCTGGATAAATAATATTATATACATTTTAAATATTATTAAATATAACTTTATAATTTTTTGGAGTTTAAGATTAGTTGGGCTGGGTGCACTTGGTCAACTAACCACAAAGAATTGACTCGTTTGAATGAAATGTTTCAAGCATCTGTTCATTCATTCTGTTCACTTACATCAAACAGATGGCTGTAAAGTAAGATTAAAAGGAAACTAAAGGCATGAACTCACAACAGAATAGATGAAAAGAGCCAGACAGAGTCAGCGAGAAAGAGACTACTGCAGAAAGGTTAAGGTGTGTAAGGACAAGGCACAGCACACCACCTCAATAATGCAAAAGGCTCCAGATCGCTAACAATTAAACATGTCTTTGAGCAAGTCCAGCTCCACCAAGGTACAGCCCAACACCAAGACATGCTAAGAAATCAGTGCAGGCCAAGTTTGAGCGGCGGGCATAAAAGAAAACGAATGAGGCTCACACAAACACGCTCACAAACCACAGCAAATCCCCAGAGCAGCGGCAGTGACCCTTACCGCAGGACTCTGGCCTTCCGTCGGCTACTACACTTTGAACAGCCAGTTCTGACAGCAGAAAACATGTGGCACACACACATACAAACAGCAAGAGAAAGAACACAATTGAAAAAAATACACTCCATATGGAAGTAATGTGTGGAATTCTGCCGAATTAATTTATTTGAGATTTTAACTCAAAATAATGGGAAAAAGGTAAAAAAAAATTTTAATGACTGATTTTTACAATAAAAATCATAATACATAATAATAAAATGATAAAACAATAATAAAACATTATCTCAGTATCACTTGAGTTTACAAAATCACACTTTTACCAAATTTGAGACAGTTTATCCATGACCAACAGACATTGCTTCTTTTTCCTCCCGACTCAATTTATAAAATGATGACTCAGACCCATCTGAGACACACCCTGTATATCCTCCTTGATGACTCAGCTAGATCCCTTACTAAAATAAACCCCCATCCTTAAATGAGATTTCCCTCTCTGATGGCCGCACAGCTGTACGTCCCCACGGCAGGAAGAGAGAGGGATTACAGTCCTGTCATCCGGAGCTTGTGATGACATGGGTGTCCCACATAATGGTATAACCAGGCCGCTAAAACCATATCAAGTACAAAGTAGGGATGTAACGATTACCGGTTTGACGATAAATCATGATAAAATTCCCGACGGTTAGTATTACCATTTCATATTTTAATTATCATTAAAACCGTATTAGATTACCGCGATTTGAACAATTCACGATAAATAAATACTACATCATTGGTAATGTTATTGTTTTAGTGATTATGCAATCAAAAAGTCATTTTATTTGTTGTTTGTTGATTTTTAAATATAAAACTTGGTGAAGTGATTTATGTGTTGGTACTTTTTGAACATCTCCAGCACATTTTAACAAAACCGTGATAATACTGATAACGTGATAATTTTATCACTATAATTTTGTCACTATAATCGTGATAAGAAATTTTCATACCATTACATCCCTAGTCCAAAGCGCTGGGAATTAAAATCCATACTGCACGGCAACTTGGGCTCTGGTGTGCTTGATTTGATAACTTCAGTCATGTCTGGTTAATCCACAGATGTGTGATAAATTCACTTCAGTACACTAAGAGCACATTTTTACTGCTATTATATATTCCCATGGAGTGTGAACATTAACACTGTGACAATGGGCTATTTTATATTGCTCACTTTTGGTTCATTTGTCTTGAATCAACATTTGATAATGCTGTTCGCAGTAAAACATGAAAGAATTAAAAATGAAAACAATAAATAAATAAATTCCTTTTCTTTTTTTTTCTCTATATTTCTCCCCTGCTCTAGCTTGTCTACTAATTTAGCTTTCTAATAAATGTAGCATTGTATACTGCAAATACTAATTTGGCGCTGTAATCAATTGCTTATTTTCCTCCATTGTAAGTTGCTTTAGATAAAAGTGTCTGCTAAATGCATATGTAAACATAAAAGTAACATTTAAAGGGGTCATATGATGCTGCTAAAAAACATTATTTTGTGTATTTGGTGTAATGAAATGTGTTTATGCGGTTTAAGTTTCAAAAAACACATTATTTTCCACATACTGTACATTATTGTTTCTCCTCTATGCCCCGCCTTTCTGAAACGCATCAATTTTTACAAAGCTCATTGGTCTGAAAAGCGAGGTGTGCTCTGATTGGCCAGCTATCCAGTGCGTTGTGATTGGCCGAATACCTCAAGCGTGAGACGATATCGTCCTCTTTTGGAAGGTCAAACAAAGTAGTTTCGCTTTCACAACGAAACACACAGCGCCTTCACGACATGGCGGCGACAACAATACTACAGCGAGAATAAACGTTACGCCTTCTTTCTTTGCGTGAACGTTTGGGCGGCGTTATGCAAATCTTCTCACATCGTGACGTAGACATGTGGGGTGTGTTAGAACGAGCCGTTTTAGGTAGACGTGGTTGACTCTTAACTTTTATAAAGAATATCTCTTTGGATTTGAGACTTTAGTCTTTGCAACTTTACAGATCTTCTTTATGCACCAAGAGCTTGTAACACTCCAAAGAGAAAGGAAAAATTGAAATCGCATCATATGACCCCTTTAAAATCCATATGGGTAAACAGTAAAAAAAAAAAAATGACAAAATGAGAAAGTGCTTAAAATAGTTCACTCAAAAATGAAAAATGTGTCACAATTTCTCTAAATGTTGCAGCATCAAAACTCATTTGCACATTTTTGATTCAAATAGGCAAACGAAATTTGAAAGCTGTGGTGAAGGGAAGGATTTTTAGTGAATTTAAAGTTCAGTCAAAGTACTGTGCGAGTTGTGTGGACTGTTTTTAGTGGTATTTTTGTTGTCTTTTTTAGGCTTGACAGGCTCAGTTCGCATTCATTTTTATTTTATGGTAAACACTGAATTGGAACTGAATTGAATATATGTCATGTTGAGCATGACATTTTCAAATTATTTAAAATTTAAAGCAGTAAAATATTTCTTGGCGGAAAATGTTGCACTTTTTTAAGCTTAATGTTTTCGTTTTTCCATTGTTTTATTCTCATTTTCATATGCTACAATTCAAACGTTTGGGGTCAGTAAGATTTTTGTAATGTTTTTGAATGAGGTCTCTGCACTAAAGGCTGCATTTATTTGATAAAAAAATATAGTAAAAACACCCATTTTCAGTATAACATGATCCTTTAGATATCTTTCTAATATGCTGATTTGGTGCTCAAAAACATTGCTTATTATTATCAATGATGAAAACAGCTGTGCTACTTAAAGGAGACATATTATGCCCCTTTTTACAATATGTAATATAAGTCCCTGGTGTCCCCAGAATGTGTCTGTGAAGTTTCAGCTCAAAATACTCAACAGATCATTTATTATATCATTTCGAAAATGCCTATTTTGAGTGGAAGCAGAAACACGCTGTTTTTCGGGGCTGTCTCTTTAAATGCAAATGAGTTGCTGCTCCCCGCCCCCTTTTTCCAGAATAGAGCTGCACCATTACAGCTCAGACCTGCTAAAAACATCTGTTTTGGTTCTGATTATCGTGTTTATCTCGCTGAAATCATGCGTTTTAAACCATATGAGTTTATACTTCTGATATAAGGTTTTCAGAGTGCACATGTACAGAAAGCGACTGTCACAGCATGTGAGTACTAAACTAAGTTCTCATTCACACACAAGTTTACGTTAAAAACACACACAAGTTACAAAAACAGTCGGTTATGTTTGTGAAGGTAAACTGCTGGGAAATAAATCGGATGTTTATTTTAGATCTGTTAACAGCAGCAATATACAGTAAATAAATCAATAAATCCACTGCTCTCTTGTCTCCTCTGAGGCTGGGACTGTAAATAGTGTTCTGTGCTCGTCTGTGCAGCCAAAGACAGAACAGTTAGCATGTTTTGCTCAGACTTTCGCCATGGCATTAGAACTAGTACACCGTTGTGGCTTGCAAAATCAAAATGACGGTGCCGTGGGTGTAAACTTACAAATTAAGGGGCGGTAATATTATAATGAGATCCCTTTGCCACATCACTAGGGGAGCGAAATCAGACGCGCT